TCGATTAAAATTAATTGAAAATTATAGAGTATTGACGATGCTTAAGCCAGCCTATTGCTATTATTATTAAATAATTCGGTTAAGAGGAAACACGTGGCGAAGCACCTGATTAAATGTGCATTGATTCAAAGTGCCGTAGAGTTTTTTCAATACCGACAGTATAGATAAAATTGCCAACGCGTCGTATTTGAAAAATAAATTGAAAAAACAAACAGCTTGGAAATAAAATTCTTACATATTGAAAAATTCTTACATATTAAAGATCTTGCATATTGGTGTTGTTTTTCTTTTTTTTTGTTTTTTTTTCCCAAAAGAATTAAATAATATATGGAGCAAGAGCATATATTTATTATTGATGGAGACGTCCTTGATGTTAGAATAAACAAAATTTTCTAACTTAAACGAACGTTTTAATGCACGTCATCATAATATATTTATATATATATATATATATATTTTTTTTTTTTTAAATTCTCTACAGTAGAAATAATTTTATCAACAACGGAATACCAGAATATTATTTCGTATTAATTGATATCGGTTATTTTACTTAAATTTCTATGAATAAGTAAAATTAACTGCTATCGAGTATTTAAAAGGATATAACTATATATACATGTATACATGTATTAATATCAATAGCAAAGGAAAATATAAATGAAAATGAAAATAAAATTTGATAATTTTAATAAAGCCTTTACGCAATAAAATATCCAAAAATAGAATACAGAATTATATTATAATTCGTTTAACAAGTGGTAAGGAAGAAGCAAAGGTATTTAAATTATTATATCTTATTATTGTTGGTACAATAAATTTTTACATCATTTGCCTGAAATTTCTATAGTAGAATATAATATGAATTAATTTGTCTTATTAATTTATTAAAAATTTACCTTTACAACTTTATTATTATTATTATCATCATTGAAACGATAATTTTATCGTAAATATAAGGAGTTACTGAATTTGTAAAAATAACAAAAAACTAGTATAACAGTTGTAGAAATTCCAGCAACGATGTTTTTGAAATACATATTCATATATTTCGTCAATTGCCAGTACAACGTCGGTCCATCGCCTACTCTTTCGACATAAGGATTTTATATCCTTTACTGTTGAAGCAAGTGAAGTTATCTATACAATATCTAAAATAAACGTTTTCAAATAAATTTCACTTTACGATAAATATCTGAAAAAATTATGTAAAGCCGTAGCTCGTAACACTTATACGTAAACGTTTGTAATTCATTCCACCAAATAAAATGAGTAAAGCCTATAATTTATATATATATATATATATATATATACAAATATTAAATGTTGTATTTGTAGATTATAATGATATTAAATATTTACGAATAGTATATTATTTCATTAATCTTGAAAAATTAAATAATGATAGCAATTCTGTTATTATCCAGGCAGAAAGAATGCTTTGCCAATGTACTTCAATAGATTAATTAATCGTGCCTTTACCTATCCTGTTGATATACTGAAATACACACGCGCCCGCACTTATATACGCTATTATTATTATCATTATTATTATTTTAAAATTAAAAAAAATTTCAATTCGTAAATTGACAAAGAAAGTACTTAAAAGGCATTTCTGCCTGTAATTTATCAATTGAATATAATTTACATTACTTATGATAATTTTTATCAATACGTCGAGTCTATTTGAAAAACTATTATTTTTCTTAAAACATTATTGTTCGGCTTTTTCAATCGATACCAATTAAGAAGCTTAAAGGGAACTTTATTGGAGGAAATAATAATATCATATTTAAACAGTTTCTTATTGAAAAATTACTTTTATCGCCGTTTTTCTAATTGCACTTAAGTGCATTCTTTCGACGAATTAGATTGCCAAAATTATTATCATTTAGAAATTAATTCATCTAATTATCGATGATGAAATAAATAAATGAAATGAAATTATTTACCTTATGGTATCATCGTCACTTCTTACAATACGTAACCTTTATATTGTGAATGTGAATTATTATTGTGATTACGTAATTATTAATATTAGGAATTTTTAATATTATTAGAGAAGAGCATCATTGTTTGCTTAAGAAATTGCTCGTAAGACTTATAAAAGTTTCTTTCCTCCGAGGAAGGAAAATTTTACAAAAAATTTGCTAATTATCAATAGAAAATGTGGATTGGCCTTTCGTTTATCGAATTAAAAATTTACATTCATTTTGATAATGTTTAATAAATTATTTTCCCACATTTTAAGTTGATTATTTCTTATATTTATAAATAGGAATTTATAATACATTGAAAATCATAAATATATGGTGTAAAATAAAGATACATATACATATGTCTTTTACATATTTTTATTTATTCTTTATTAATGTTTAAACAAAGTAAATAGTTGTTGTTAATTAAGGTAGATTGAGGGGATATAAATAAAAGTTTTACTATGTATATTCAGAAACAGTAGTTTTTATTAAAACACATTTGAATATTTCTTACAAAATAAACATCGATACACAAGTATGTGTATGTAATTTTTTCCTTTATAAGAATATCCATAGCTAGTTCACATCGAATTCACAAAAAAATAATTGTATACAAATTACCCGTGATTTTGTACAATAATAATAATATAATCCAATAATAAATCCTCTATTATTATTGGCTAATCAGATAATTTGTATTTAATATTAATAGATGCACAATCCAGGTGTATGTATATAATACACAAGAGAGAGAGAGAGAGAGAGAGAGAGAGAGAGAGAGAGAGAGAGAGACAATAAAATGGAAACCAACGTTTATGCTTATAGATATTAAATAAACGTTTTCATTGTCACGTGAAAATTTTGAAGAATTGCAACAACAGAAATTATGGCGATGGTGATTCTGATGATAATAATAATAGTAATAATGATAATAATAATAATAATAATAATAATAATAATAATAATAATAACAACAACAACAACAACAACAACAACAACAACAACAACAACAACAACAACAACAACAACAACAACAACAACAACAACAACAACAACAACAACAACAACAACAACAACAACAATAGTATAACACAGACTGACAAAGACCACAACAATGTTAATTATCAAAAACCTGGCGATAATTTATAACTGAAAAATAATATTGTCTTTTCTATTATGGATATATCGTTCCATGAAGTTTTCACAATTTTATCTACTACACTTTGTTTTAATTTACTCGTCACTTTATCACTTCACGTCTGCTTATTTCATCAAAAAATTTGCAAAGCAAAATGTCGTTTTATTCTTACATTATGTTGCTTTAAAAAAAAAAACAGAAAACACATTCACGTACTTCAAAGGTGCTGTACTGTTGGTAACTTGAATTTATCTCTTTTGCCGTCTGTTAACAAATTATTACAATAAATTTCCTTTATAAAAGTTAAATGAATAATGAAGAATCTTTAAAATAAATTTTATTCCAAGATATTATTTGAACAAATAATGACTAATGCGTAATAATTTATAAATATACAATTACATGTAAAAGTTATGAATTTTAGTTTAAAATGAATTTCATCTAATGTTGTTCGAATAGTCGATCGGTAATTTTTAATGATAATTCAAGAAAATTATGCTTTTGTGCATAATTATTTCATTAGATTTTCTGAATAAAAGAGAATTTTGAAATTTTTACGAGATTATATTGACTTCGTTAAAACTTTACGAATATCAATGTTGATTTGAATTTAAATATTCATACATGAATATCTTTTACGTAATTTCTTACATAAATACAATATAATTTTTGGGCATAAAAGAGAGAATTAGAAAG